CTTTACTTCTGTATACATTCTGACCTTCCTTAATTCATTTTGCTTTAAATAGTTAATTGTTCTTTAAAGAAATTTTCTAAAGGATACAAAATTGGGAGGCTATTTACATTGGAACAAATTTAAACGTTCTGTAGCACTTTCATTCTTTTGAATAGATTCCATTTTATAACTGATACTTTTCTTCCACTTGAAGAACTTGGTTCAAATTTTTTAAGTGCCTTATCTCCCGGTAATAAAGTCTCTTAGCTGTTGTTGATTTCAAGGTTAAAGAGATGTTCAGTGGATACAGAATTTTAGGTTGACTTTTTTCCCCTAGTACTTTAAAGATGCTTTTCCTTTGTTTTTTTCACTTTTAAACTTTTCAAAATATATCTGTGATGATTTTTTCTTTGCTTATGCAATGTATTTCCCCTTCAACTGCATTTCAGTTATTCTCGTTATGACTGGTTTAAGAAATTGTATTGTAATATAGCTTGTTGTGGTTTTCTTTTATTTTGACTTCTATATATTAACCTTTTTGTTTTTTATTAGCACATATTTTTAGTACATAATGTTTACATTCCTTTTGGGGAAGGGGTATATGTACATAATATATCTTAATTCTCTTCTTTTATTCTTTGCTCTTCCGACCCTCTGTCCATCTCATTTCTTTGTTTTTCTGATGCCCCACTTTTCTGGGATCCAAGTTTCATGTATGTGAGCAAACTTGATACTTTTCTATAAGTTAGCAGGTCTTTATTCATTTTTTTCTTTATTTCTGTTGCTATTTTTAGTCATTTATCCCTCAGTGCTTCACTTTAGCTTCAATTATTATGTGTTTGAATTTACTGATTTCGTCTTCCATTGTTTAACCTGCTCTAACTATTGAAGTTTTCATTTTAGATACATTATTCATCTCCAGAAGTTCTTTATGTGTTGCACATTTTCCTACTATATTCTTTATTTTTTTGAAAAAGATAATTAATTGTAGTCATAATGACTGATTTACTCTTTCCATCTGATAATTCCTCAATTTCTGTATTTCTGGGTCCATTTCTACTGGTTTTATGTTATATTTTCTTAGTTTGAACATTGAGAACCTTGTTTTTAAGCTTCTTTATAGCATAAAGCTAGACCGGTCTTTATTCTAATGTTCATCTCCTAAATTATTAAGCTGTGGCTCTTCTGGAGTCTCTACTGTATGGTCCCAGTGATTGCCAACTATTCTCCAGTCTGTTAGACAACTCAGCTACATCACACATCTTAATTCCTCTCTTTTCATTCATCCCCCCCCACCCCTGCATTCCATCCATCTCATTTCTGGTGTGGTCAGATCCCATCTCTCTTGTCATATGCCCTACTCTATAATATTTCATGCTATATCTTCATGTTCTAGTATTCAATAAAGACAAAAAGGAACCCTGCACAAATTTCTGGAGTTATTTTTCTACATACCACACCACAACTTTGAGCTGCTTTTATGCCTCTGTCAACTCTGATCACTGTCCCCTGAAGTCAGTGAAGTCACTATTCCCTGCTTAGGTTCAACACACTGTCATTCAGCTCCACGGAAAGTATCTCCAAGCAGAAAACTGGAGGGATAGTAGCAGTCATCATGTCTGTCTTCCTTCTCTCAAGGATCTCAGCCATGTGTCACTTGTTATCTGGTATTTAATAATAGTTGTTTTATATTTATATATTTTTAGTATTCTTACTTGTTGAGAGGGAGCTGAATACATTTGAAAAGTAATAACCTCCAATATGAATGGAAGTTTTCACTATTCCTTTACATTACTTCTTTTTCAATTTTTTTTTGTTTTGTTTTGTTTTTTGAGATGAAGTCTTTCTATGTAGTTCAGGCTGGCCTTGAATTCCCTGTGTAACCCAGGCTGACCTCAGACTTGCCATGATCTTCCTGCTTCAGCCTCCCAAGTGCTAGGATCATAGGCATGTGCTAGCATGCCTGGCTTTTATACTATTAATTTTAACCAACATTTATTGATCTCCACTTATACACAATGACACTGTAATGTACCATGAAGGATTAACCATTAATAAAAGATAGACCTTCTCTTAATGGAATTTTAATCTCCTGCCATACATAGACCTATACACTGGTGACAAAACATATTAATAATTATAACTGAAATGTTTAATCAGTATAGGGAAGGAAGGAGGGATAACAGGTTTACAGATGTTTTAAAGGAGGGTGTACCATATGGCTTGAAAATGGAGTAGGATTTTCATTAGAAATAGGTTCAATGAACCAGTAATTCTCAATTTTAGCCAAATATTAGAACCAGGGAAACTTTGAAAAAACAAAAGCTAATGCTTATGTCTCATGACCATATATTTTTATTTAATCAATCTGAGATTTAGCCTTAAGTCCTGGGATACTGTAAACCCCCACAGGTGATTTTAATTTGTAAACAAGCTTGAGACTCTAGATTAACAACAACAACACGAAGTGGAGTGACAAAAGGATAACATGAAGCCACATTCAGCATTTGGGACTTCAGTTAAGCTCCTCATGTTAGGAACTTGCTTTGTACATATAATTATAATTTCTGAACCACATTAATGTTAATTTTACTTTAATTGTCCAATCCATAAATATCTCTTCCTTGAAGTCACATGAAAAATGAATTATTTTGAAGGTTATTGAAAAATACTTTCCAGCATAATGGCCACATGGAACCATATATAATAAATGTTGTACCCAAACTTGCTAAAAAGGAGGTGAATTAACAATGCTATTTTGGTACGATGTCATAAACAGTAAAAACACCAAGAGACTCTTCACTGTAGTTCAAAAACTCTTGAATGTTTCTTTTATACAAAGCAGAGCATGAACTTTCAGACTAGAACGCAGTGGGATCTGCAGGAGACCTAGTAAGCCATGGCTCCCTGAGAACCACTTGACCAGCCACGCAGTCTTGTTCCTAGTTGTGAGAGGCTGGAGTCTCCTACTGGAGGAGGTTTCTAGGTTCTTTCTGTCCAGAGCAAAGAAGTGGTTTAAGACAAGGACAAGCAGTAGCAAATTTTTATTAACAGTAAAATAAAAAGAAACAGGCTCTGCAAAGTGAGTTTGGGCCAAGCAGAAGTTGGAAAAGAAGTACACCCCACAACATGAAGTTGGGGCTGCCACCCAAGAAAGAAAACAGTGGCAAAAACTCAGTGTAGATCCTTTTTGTATCACCCGTGCCTCGGGCTGATGTTAGGTCTAGGCTGTCCTATTGAACACCTGCTTAGGTTCTCGCAAGAATTCAAGCTCTCGTGTGCAGACCCTTGGAAACCGTTCCATGACCGTGCCCTGGGTTTTGTAACTAACAGGTTGTGCCTACTTCCCCAGCCAGCTTTGCCATACTCTCCTGTATCAGTCTGAGACAACAAAAATTAAACTAATATACATGGTTAAGTTTTAAGTTCCTAAAACCTAATGAAAATAGTCAAAAAATAATTTGAAATCTGTTTACCCAAGGATAACCTTTAATAACTAGTATTTTATTCTTCCAATTGTTTAAAAATCCTATTACAATTTTTTTAACTCACCAAGGTAGTGTGTGAGGTATGATATTTGATGTACAAAATCCAAATTACTTGAGATAGACTTTTGTCATTCTGGGCTCCTTGACACTATTTCTAATGCGGTAGGTGGGACAGTCTACAAGTGAAGACACATCTCAGTCACTTTCCTCTATAAAATCCAGGGCTGGGAGTGTCAAGAATTCACTGTTTCTGCAACCTTGCCCCAAATACTTACCAAATCATATATTTCCCTCTGAGATCTCCAGTCTTTTTTTTTTTTTTTTTTTTTTTTTTTTTTGTCGGTACTGGGGATTGAACTCAGGACCACATGCTTGCAAGGCAGGCGCTTATGCCGCTGAGCTAAATCAACAGCCAAGATCTCTAGTCTTAATGGAGTGATACACAAGACCCAAAGATAGCCAAACATGATGCAAATAACTACTACTAATAAATACTAGCATGAGTCAACTAACTAATAAATACTAACATGAGTCAATAAGCTACATAGAACTGCACTTCAAATTCTTGCATTCTTTATAGACATCTCTCTGCACCTGCCAAGTATGTGCAGAAAGGAATACTCCAACACGCTTGGTCTCTTCTGTAAAACCAAGACTTGATTGTGTACCATTTTTAATGTTCAGAGATTTTATTCTGTTCTCATTGTTTCTTTGTGTTAGCCATTTGTTAACTCAACTGAAGGGGTTTTGTTAGTTTAGGTATGTTCTTTAACAATAGATAAATTTTTTCATTCAAAAAGGCATTCCTCTATGTTCCCGCAAACTATGTAAACTTTCAATGAATGCTGACTGTTATTGTGGTCCAATTCTGTGAAGGGGAAAGCAACTTTAGTAATCCCATTTGGAAAGGAAAAACAGACTGCTTAGTTTGCCAGTCTGAAGAATTAAACATGAACCAAAAAATTGAAAGATTAATTATTTTATTTCTTCTACATAACACAAATCACCAGAAACAGTGAGCTGGCAATGTCCACATAAAAGAAATTGAATAAATTGAATCTTCTAATTTGATTTTCTGTAAGTAAATTTGGGACAATTATCCTGAAAATTATTCAAAAGTTTAAATACAATGCAAAACGGAGCATAGCATTTGTGTGTGTGTGTGTGTGTGTGTGTGTGTGTGTGTGTGTGTGTGTGCTTGTTTTTTGCTTGGTTTCAGGCTTTGGTTTATTTTTGTCTTGTGATCCTGGGGACTAATCCAAAGACCTTGGCGCTGAAGAAGAGGTGTCTCTCTAGGGCTTCTTAATTTTTTTGTTTTGAGACAGGGGTGGGGTCTCACTAAGTTTTCCAGACTGACCTCAAGCCTGCTGCTCCTCTTCCCCAAACCACTAAGTCACTGGGACTGCAGGTATGCCCTACCACAAGCAGCAAACGTGAGTGTTTCAGTGGTGAGATACAGAAACCTACTCAGTACCAGAGATTGGTTCTTTGAGCACAGAAAACATGGAAATGAGAACACATATTGTCAAGGCTTTAATTGGGGTTTCAGTTTAAGGGAGACAGCAGCGATTAAGAGAAAGAACAGCCTGCTCTCCAAAGAAAGGAAGGCAAACTTTTATTGATTTCCTGGAGTGGGTTAAAGTCCAATAATTTTCCATGGGTGAGGGGCATGATTTCAAATGACTTTTTCCTTCTTTTGAAACATTTGGGCCATCATGCAGTCCACTTCTTGGAACTGCTGGCTTCCTTTATAGCTGATGCCATCATCTTGTGCAAATATTCTAGCCTTGTGGTTCAGTCTGGGCTTTATGGTAAGGCTGAAGGATTTTAGGGACTTGAGATGCTTCAGCTGCTGAAATAACACAATGGTAAAGATAAGGAAACAAGAAAAAAGTAGGAGAAAGAAATTCATACCAGTTTCACTGGGTTATGAGCCAAATCAAAAAGAAGACCTAGGAATTTTATTTGGCTTTTATCCCACTATATAGCCTCCAACTGTCCCTCCCTTTTTCCTAATAAAAGGTTTTTTCCTTCTTATTCTTAATGAGACAAAGACTAAAGTTATCTTCTGTAACTTCTCCAGGTTGTCATGTAATCCCCACCTATCCTTGCAGATTATAAAAAACCCTCAGTACCTAATGGAAGGGAGACCAAGGTTTGGGTTCTTGACTAGAGATAAACTAAAATCCCTAGAAAGTCATTAGTTTTACTTGAAACTTCAGGAGCCTAGAGCAAAACAATTTAACAAGCAAGATAGATAGATATGTTTGTAAAATAGATATGGCTGTAAAGAGTATTACTACTACCAAAGTTGAGAGCAGAGGGCTTAAAAGCCCCAAACATCTGAGCTGGCCATGAAGTATGTGAGACACGCCATCCTTTGTTTTTTCTAAATTAGTAATATTGTCTCTAAAGATTTTGATGTTTTCCAGAGATGCTCATGTAAAAACAGCAGTCTTACCAAGAAGACACACATTGTCCCAGTTTCCATTGTGAATGTGCCAAGAGCTTCATAAAAGGAGGACTAGTTGGCTAAATTCCATGGCAGACTTTTGGGCTTCAAAAGCTTTTACTGTATTTTTCCTTGGTTGCGATGTGTGCATGGATATACTTTAATGGATTTTTCAAGGTTGGGTATTCCAACATATCAGGAAAAAAATTAGCATTTGATTTGTCCAAGCTCATAACTAGGTTGATGGTAGAAAATAATCTCAAAATTAAGCTCTTTCTTGGTCCAATTGCACCACCAGGAACTTGTCAGAAAAGATTCCAGGTTATAGATTCCTTCTAAAAGTACCATTATGAGAACAGAATGGTTGCAAGCACCAAAACTATAGTATGTGGCCCTTTCCATCATCGTAGGAGGGTCCTGAATAAATTCTGCCCGTATTGGAAGAAATTTCCTCTTCACTTGAGAGATATTACAGCAGTCCATCTCTGTTCTCAAATATGTTTGTAAGAAGTGCTAAATCCCAAGTCTGAAGGGGACATGGCTGGATTCCAAGCTATCTATGTACTGTGAAATCACGATAAAATGCCCAAATAATAATTATCTAGGCATATGGAATGCTATATAACAAGTCTCCCCATTTGGTTCTGTATGTGTGTTGACACCCAATATTTCTGTATATTGAAGGAAGCAGCTTGACATGGTCTGTTATTATGTTTCCTGCTCCTGTTGAATTTCAAGTGAATCCTGTTTTAATTATCCAATGTTATTTCATCCCAGAGCATAAGGACTTCAAGTATCCAAGTAAATATTTTGTTATTCTTTTTGTTACTTCCTCCCCAAAAAATGGATTAAATTTCAGTCACGTTTGTGATCAGGACAAGTTCTTCTGAGGTGTCATTGTACTCTACAGTGTTATTTTTCAAGGAGATGGGAAGGTCACTGTTTTGAGGCAAAGTCAGAGAGATGTCTAAAATATAAAGATGCCCTGTCTTTCAAAACTTACATTAGCTTGGATCATCAAGAGGGATATAAAAAGCAATTTAGAGTAAAATTCTTAGGTCTCTTGGCACAATTTGGCTAAGGTTTACATAGGGTATGACTATTTTATTTTTTCTGAGGACTTGGGATGCCAATTATGCTACTAATAAAGGAAATTCAGTTCTTTCCTCTGTGTCACTCCACTGACTTCATAGCCTGGTTGTGGTCTTTCTTCCACCCACAGTTATGCATGTTACTGCAGAGAACATAAGAAAACATACTATATAATGCTTTTGCTATTAGTAGATGTCTTAATTATAGTCTCATTGCTGAGACAAAATACTCAACACTCAAAGTTAAAGGATAAAAGGTTTATTTCAGCTCACAGTTTGTAGAGATTTTGGTACATAGTCAGCTGATTCCAAGGTAGGCTGGCATCATGGGAGAAACAGTCCATGGCAAGCAGACGGCAGACAGTAAAGCAGCAAGCAGCAGCACCAAAATCAACAGTATGCTGCCTTTCCCTTTTATCCCTTCCAGGCAACCCACTTTTTGGGTAGTACCACTCACAAACAGAGTGGATGAACCTTCCTCTTACCCACACCAGAACTATGCTAAACCAATCAGTTGACTAATTTGGTAATCACACACCCTTAATCCCAGTATCACATCCTTAACCATTTAACAGTTTACCACAAGCATCATTAGGGCAGCGTGTTTATGTACTCACTGTCCCAAGCTTATTTGAGCAGGTGTCATTTCAACCAAGTGATTCTTGAATTGAATAAATTTGATAAAACCATCATTTTTATATTCCCTGTTATCAAATAAAAATTAACAAAATATGCAATTTTTGTCATCCTCTATTTACATATTTGAACTGGTAAATGGTTAATCCAGCATCACACCCATAATTTCAGCATCATACATTCTAGATCCAGCCACCACTGAAAAGCTCTAACTTTGACCACATGAGGCTCTGGGGAGACACCTAGACACAAGCCAGTATACTAATATAGTATCAAGTATACTAATGATGGTTTACCTCCTGTGTGGTTCTGACAGGTGCATGTCAGCAACTAAAAGAGAGACAATTTGAGCTATTTGCTATGTAAGTAGCACTCATAAATGGTTAGTGTATGACCACCTGCAAGCCAAGAAACCACAACAAAGACACAACAAGCCTGAGCTGAGTCATGCCATCTTAAACTGAGATCCAACATAGAGAAAAGAGGTGGGGTTCAAAGCAACAAGGAAGCAGCAGTACAAGGATAACAAACACAAACAAACCCATTTGGAAATATCATCCTATTACTTATTTTGCTGGTAACTCCTCTACATGTTCATAAGTACATTCCTGTGAGTCTGAAGAACTCCATGGGAGATCAGGTAGAGTAAGTTTTACTCTGATTAAATGAACCAACCAGGACCCTTGTAGTTTTGTAGTACTAGGGGTGGCTAAAATAACTTGGTATGGTCCTTTCCATTTGGGCTGAAGTTGATTTTCTAGTGACTTTGCCCTGTTCATTTTAAGCATTAAACCTGTCTTCTGGTAGCACTCTTCAAGAACAGCAGGATTCTGAGTCAAATTAGGAAAGATTTTGTTTCCATAGTTCAAGAGGGCTTGCTGAGTTTTATCTAGGTTAACGACATATTGTAAGGCAAGGTCTACATTTTAATTAAACTAGAAGGTAGTATTCAAGGAGTATCTACCATATGAAATCTCAAAGGGATTTATTTTCAGGTGACACATTGAAATTTCTTGGATTATTAGGAGGGATAGAAAAGCAATTTAGTGCCAGGTTCTTGTGTATCTTAGCACAGTTTGCTTAAGAGTTGCCCAAGAGCACAGCTGGGTAGGGGCTAGGGATTTAGCTCAGTGGCATTAACGCCTGCCTTGCAAGCAGGCAGTCATGAGTTTGATCCCTGGTACCAATGAAAAGGAAAAAGACAAAAACAAAACAAAAAGAGTACAAGTGGGTTTCTTTTTCCCATGTTTCCTAAGAATTTGGAATGTCAAGCTAAGTGTAGTTTACAATTAACTACAAGGACAGTGGAAAGGTTTTTGGATTATTCTTGCTATAAATGAAGTTTTATTGTCACTTTGAAGAGACTCTGGGAACCTGAGAGGGATCATTTCTTATGAGATATTTATATATTTTCATGATCTTTTCTACTCTGAAGAAGTTTCTATCCATCATGTAAAACCATCCATAAATATTAGCAGATATTTATACCCAGCTTTTAAGAGAATTTGTGTAAAATCAACTTCCAATCTTTCACTAGGTAGGTACCCTGATGCTGACTGGCCTTAAAAGTGGGGGCCACTGGATGGGTCTGATGGTTGTTTTATATGCAAACCTGATGATGCTGAACAATTTATTTGCTGATCTCATGAAGTCCTCTTCCAGTAAGAGTAGTTCTTACCAGGATCCAAAAGAGCTTTCCTTTCATAATGTGTGGACTCATGGTGGTGTTTAACAAGTTTGCATTGATCAGTCTCAGGACCACAATCTCTTGCCAGTCTGTGAGCCATCCTGCCTCATTCATGTAACATCCCTAATTACCACACTTTTATATTTCTGTTCAGTAATATTTAGATATTTTGAGTGGGTTGGGAGGGTCTAGGACTAGGGTCACAGCTTATATAGCTATGGGAAATCCTTCATGGAGACTTGTGTTTTGGCTACATAATTTATATTATTATTTGCCTTATTACTGCCTTAGCTTGTAAGGGATCACTTTGAGGTCCTTTACAATGGATTACTGCTGCTTGTTTAGAAAGTTATACTACTTCCAGAAGTTGTAAGATCAGGTCTTTATATTTTATTGGAGAGTTTTACCTGTTAACCTTCATCTTTTCTCTCCAGATAGCAGCATAGGAAATCTATGTAGATATTTAATTTTCTTTCTTGTCCTAATTTCAGGGCCCAAATAAAAGGCAATAAATTCTTCATTCTGACCAGAAGTGTTAGAGGGAAGGGATTTTGCTTCTATGGTATTATTATAGCCTGACCACTACATACCAGGCTTTTCTGACACATCATTCTATAAAACAGCTCTCATCTGTGTCAGATTCGGGTCATCTAGAGTCATATCTTTTCAATCTGGCTTTCAGGAGTACAGTTGTTCAATAATCTCTACACACTGATGTTCTAGTGCTGAAGCTGAGATTAGGGTACCTGAGTCTAAGGTGTGACATTCGTGGCAACTTGATGAAAGGAGTATCCAATAGGAAGGCCTGATATTGTGTCATTTCTCTCCATAAACCAGTGATACACCCCGACATCTAGAACTCTATGGAACTGATGGGATTTGTGACCTCCATACGTTATCTTGAGCTTAATTTAGAGGCTTCATTAATTAACAAAACAGTTGCAACAACTATTATCCTTTAACCACTGAGTCTACAGTGTCTACAGAGATGGGTCCTGTCCTGCTTAATTTTCTCATTTCTGAGACAAAATACCTGACACACAAAGAGATTAAAAGAGGGAAAGTTTACTTGACTTACACTTAATAGAGGTTTCGGTCAAAGTTGGCTGGTACCAAGGCAGGGTGGCATGGCACAGGGGCATCACAGAAGAGAAACAGTCCATGGCAAAGCTAGGGAGGCAAAAGGTAGCAAACAGCAAGCAACCACAGCAGCTCTCTTTGTGTCCTTTATATTTTACCGAGGCTACCCGCTCTTAGTGCAGGTAGCAATCACACCCGGGGTGGGGCACCATTATCCTACTCAGAACTCTGCCAAACCAATCAGTGGACTAATTTAATAATCATACATCCTTGATTCCAAAATAACTTAATCCCAGCATCACACACTCTAGATCCAGCCACCTCTGAAAAGCCCCACCTATAACCACATGAGGACATCTAGACACAAACCATGACAGGTCGCAACTTTTGGGTTAAGACTCTAAAGCCAAATCCAGCTTTTTATGTGCATAGTGTAAGAGGTTTTCCAAGTCAGAGACACCCAAAGCAGGGTCTCAACCTAACTCAGTCTTTCACTGATCAAATGCCCTTTAACATTCTTTTGTTCAGTAGAGAAACTACCTTTAATGCTTCATGTAGATTTTGCATTAACCCATAATTTGGGATCTATACCTGGCAGAAACCTACCATGCCTAGTAACTCTCAGCACTGTCTTTTGGACTCACAGTTAGACAATAAAGCAACTGTCACTTTCCAATTGGGAGCCAATATATGGACTGCTGGAGCAAGGACAAACCCCAAGGACTATTTTGAGGGAGATCCATGACTTTGTTTAGGAAACTACTTCCTTGATCAGCAAGAAAATTTCTTGCTTGATACTACTAGCAATCAATAAGTCATTGACATATTATAGCAAGATACCACTTTAAGTTGTTTTCTGAGGTTTCTGGGCCAAATCATTACCAAACAAACAATAACTGCTCATGCACCCTTGAGGTGACACCATCCGGGAATATTAAGTGGTCTCTTGAGTTTTTAGATCTCTCTCATTTCAAAGCAGAAGGGTATTGTGAATCTGAGTTAGTAGTATGCTAAGAAGTCTTTATTTAAGGACAAAACCATAAGATGCTTAGCCTCTATTGGTGGGTGTGTAACTAAGGGACAGGTATTACAGGAAATGGGATGAATGAAGACAACAGCTTGATTTATATCCTCAACGTCCTGCACAAATTGATATTCTCCAGAAAGCTTTTTAAACCAGGCATGGCTTGAGTAAATTAATAGCCAGGAACTTTTGTAGAAGGGTTTTATTCTTCAAAAGCCATCTGGCTTTAAATAGTATTGCCTTTTCCAAGAGTATTTTACCTGAATCAAGTACCCAGAGTGTTTAAATGTGAATTAGGGTGGTATTAACAGCATCTCCTGAAGTTGCAGTATCCCATACTGTGGCTTTTCCTAAATCAAGCAGTTCTTGAAGATTATTAGGTGAGAAATACATAAAAGGACTACTATGTGAATTCTGGTGGCACCTCAGCCTGAATTTGACTCCCAACAATTGAAACACTTGCTTCTAATTTGCTCTTAACTTGGTCAATAGGTAGCTTTCTACCAGAGGACTGAGATAATCTGGGACATTGAGAAAGAATTGGAAGGTAGTTTGGGAACTGATTTTGTAATTAAGAGAAAAAGAAAAGCATTTTACCTTAGGCTACTGTCTACTCCATTGAACACTCCTGGTTTCATAAAGGCCCAGCAGGTTATGACAGAGACGTTAAGCAGCTGCAGTATCAGTATCGATTTTGTTTTCCTACTTACCAGACCAAGCGTGACCTGAGGCTTCCTATCTAAGGGACACATAAAGTATTCAAAGTTTTTGATGCTTAAACTTAGTAAGTCTAGAATGCTAAGAAGGTATTGGCTCAGGATATATTACTTCTAGTATTGGGTGTGATTTATCTGGTATAACTAAATCTCAGGTTGCTTTTTCATTGCCCAGTGGATTTTTATGCCCATTGTATGATCTATGTTGTCAAATGCCTATTTTATATCCTGTGTTGCATTCATAGAACTTGTAAATGCATTCTATCTGCTTCCAAAATGGGCTTTCATATATACATGTAAGTATCAGAATGCTCGGGTCTCTGCTCCTATCATCAAAAAGCAATTTCAAATAGTTACACAAAAAGGTTCTTAGAAGAAAGAAAATTCCTTCCTTTAAGCCAGAAGGGCTCTGCATTGTATCTTTCATTGCCAACATGGCAGCATGAGCTGAATCTCAAAGCTATTAAGTATAGTGCTGCCATCTAGTATAATTATAAAGCGGCACTTGAGATATCACCCAGGATTGAGCTGCAAAATGAGGGGAAAGGACTTAGTAAGTCTAAAATCCAGAGATGCTGACTCAATACTGGACATCCAGGATCTGACCCAGGGTCACCCAGGTAGGGAGGGGGGCACTTAAATTTCTAAGCTAATGATTCATTACAGACTATGTAGCTTACCTATTAAACTGGTAATTCATGCTTATGATATAGAAACAGAAAAAGGTTCCAGTGCAGAGATCTTCTTATCTATGGTACATATACGCCTCCTAGTAACCCTGTTGCTATCCCAGATACATTTGTAAACTGCAGAGATATTCTATACTTCTGAAGATAAATATGTATGCTCAGGTGTGAGTGTTTGGAAGTATATCCATAATATATATTCTAAGTGTGGGAACACAGTATGCATATTGTTCTGCACATTGTTTTTGTTTCTATTTTCTCTTAACAATATGTATAACCTTGCTGGGCATGGTGGCACATTCCTGTAACCTCAGCATTCAGGAGGCTGAGACAGAAGGACTGCCATAAATTCAAAGCCAGCCTGAGCTACATAACTGAGTATAAGGCCAGCCTACACTGCATAGCGAGACCCTGTCTCAAAACAACAACAACAAAAAAAAAAAAAAAAAGCTCATTCCCTCTCAGCGTACAAAAAATCTACTTCACTTTTAATGATTATACAACATTCCATTAAACACATGTGCAATGCTTTTTTTAATCCCTCTTGGTAGACATTTAAATGATTTCAATATTCTGTACCATGCTGCAACTAAGGCTTTCATATATCTGTCATTTTATACTTGTCTGAATAAAACAGTAAGATGAAATCCTAGAAGTTTAAAATTAGCATTGCTGGTCAAAAGGCACATGCATTTGTAGTAGAGACAAATATTGGCACATTGATCTCCATGGAAAATCTTAAGAGTTTGATGAACCTCCATCATCGAGCTATAAGAGTGGCTGATTGCCTGTAATTCCAGCTACTCAAGAGGTGACGTTAGGAGAATTGCAAGCTTAAGGCTACCCTGGGCAATTTAACAAGACCCTGTCTCAAAATAAAAATAAAATTGAAGGGCTGGGAATACAGCTTGGCACATCAGTGCTTACATGGCACATATGAAGCCCTTGAGCCCATTCACAGTACTGGAAGAGAGTGGCTGTTTCCCAAGCTCTCACTAGTAAGAGTGTGTTACCCAATTTTTCAGATTTTCCAGTGTAACATGTGAAGGCAATGTCCTAGTGTTGTTTTGGTCTATATTCTCTTAATAAAGTAAGCTTGAGCATCTGTCTATATATGTTTGAGCCACTTCCACTTCCTTCACCTTCCATTTCATTTCCTGTTGATTCATTTATAGCTTCTGTACATATTTCTATAGGCTTGTTCTTTTATTATAGAGCCTCTTCATAAATTAGACCAAAAACATTTAGCCTGCAATATGTCACGTATTTTTTCTCATTTCTTTTTTTTTTACTTTATTTGTTAATATTAAGAAAAAAAGGTAAAACAAATTTTCACAACAAAGTAATAAAAAAGTAACAATTGTTGATAAATTACACATCATTATCTTTAGTCACTCAAGTACAAAATACGGGCATAAAAATTTCTTCAATCAATATTAGCACAACCTTTCCTATTCAGTGAACTAAGTGACACTACAAAATGTTAAAGGTTCAAAAGCAAAAGAGTAAATTCTGATTTTGATTACAGAGGACTTTCCCTTGAAGAAATGTTATCCTTTCATTTATTTAAATGTCAACAATATCTTTTCTGATTCAGCATTTTCTGTTATGTTTTTAAAATTTTTTCATGGGGTAGGGAGGAGGGGAAGGGAAAATAATTAGAATAAAGATATGCCATATATAGAAACCTAATAACCTCAATTAATGTAAATATCATATGCCATAATATGACCTAAGGTTAATATCAATAAGAATGAAAAACTGGATAGGGGAGTTGGAGGAGGGGAAGGTGGTTAGAAAGAAAGAGAGAAAGAAAGAAAAAGAAGCCATGCCATCTGTATGTAGCCACTCCCCAAGATGATGGTAAAACACATGAACTACAAGCATGTACTAGTAAAATTTTAAAAATTAAGTTTTTCCCACTAAAATGATTTTTTAATCTACTAAATTTTTCAAATACTTTTATTACTTCATTGTTTGAATTTAAATATTTGCTCCATCCTGAATTAATTTTTAGTTAATTCATCTTTTCTCCACTGACTAGTTTTCACATCATAAAGCTAATAATGAATGTTTTATTAATTTTATATTTTAAAACTAGAACAGTTATAGGTGTTAAATTTAAACATACAACTGTTTCAATATTCTGTCCTGGCTTTTTTTCACTTTATAAGGTATAGTGGAGAATTCAAATACAGAACTGGTCAAGGATTCTTTAAAACACCAAAGAGAAGTATGACCAGCCACCGCTCAACTCTACCTGTGACAATATTCTCTAAATTGTAGGCCCAGAGACTTTTACACAAAGACCAAGATTTGGGATGCAAAAGTAGTGACTGCAGTGACCTTGAGCTGAGGACAGCAAACTACAGAGTTATCTTCCTCTTCACTATTTTCCCAGAACATAAGAGGGACAATTTGTCCACCGATGTTTATAGTAATGATGGTCATAATAGCTAAGAAATAGAAAGTACTCAATTGTGCATCATGGATGAATGGTTAAACAAAATGTGGTATACACTCAGTGTGGTATCTATTCAACCTTAAAGGAACAAAGTGCTGATACACAGTACAAGGAAAGACAGAAATACATGGAAAATGCCTCTAGAACAACAGTGAGATTCCTCCTTATTCCCCACATACACTCACAAAAATGGCTATAAT